ACAAATAATACAATACTACTGCACAAACACATGGCATACAATAGGCAAGCCAGATCTTCAGGACAGGATTCTGCTGTCCACCTGCATCTGACGGACCAATTACAAGGTGCACATTTTGGCCAGGGAGAATGTTTGAAGGGTTGTTAAGCAAGCCATCTAGGTTAATGTTGGAAAACCATCACTTAACAGAGGTGGCTGTCTGAGACACGATCTATCATCGTCCTACAATGCTCGATAAAATTCTCCTTCAAAACAACTGAAGTCCCGGTCCCACCCTGAAATGTTTGACTCATAGGAATCACAGACTACCAGAGGTGTTAAAGACTCATGGCAAAACTAGGTCAACGACAGTTTCCAGTCTTAAGCGCTCGCATCTAGCGCAACAGGCCATTATTAAATGTTGTTATAAGTTGAACATGGGCATTTTCCCCTATTCAATACAAGAGATAGGAGCATCCAGTACTTCTGTAAAAATGCCCTCCTGAACCATAAAATGTAAATATTAATAGACGAAGCCTGAGTGATGTCAGCCATCTGTTACTGCAGGGGGTTTGGGGGCTCCGTAGAGTCATCAGCGGTTGCCACCATGCTGGAAATCCTGCCTAGCTTTCAGTCAACCTAACAATAGGCTAAAAGCAGGATATGAGGGTTTTTTTAAGCCACCTGACAAACTGTTATATCGGGCCGACCTGTCAGTCAGGTCCGCTGAAACTTCTGTCTTCACTGGAAGTGCAACACCTTAAATGTTAGTAATGGTTGAACTTTGTCCTAACTTTGAAATTCCATTAGATTAGGTTATGTTTTAACTAACGAACGTGTAGCTGGTACAACATGGTGCTGGTCTTTTAACCATAACAAATGGTCTAGAACATTAATCTGCTGTATGCGGGCAACATAAAAGCTTCTCAGATCCATATTCACAGAGCTTCACATTTACAAAACCAAATTTGCAGCTAATCTGGGAAACATAGGCAATTGCGTATATGGTGCAAGTGCACTAGGGCCCGTGTGGTAGGAGGGCCTGTGAATAAAGCAGTCCCCCTCTATACCAGGTTGTTATATGACTCGATGAATGTCACTATTTAAACTGGTTGTCAAAGATACATTTGTGTGATCATGTGATGTTGCTAGCTGAGGCCAAAATCTGAGGCGAGCACAGTGCACATCTCCGAGTCGACCGAGCAATTCAAAATGCTTTTCAAACACAAAAGCGGAAGTCGAAAAGAACAGGAGGAGAGGGTAGCAAAACTCCGTAAATTAGACTCTTTTGGTTTCACAAACAGTCGCCAGCCCACAGTTGACCGCCCCTTGCCCCTTCCTAGCAGCAATGCAGCAGTTCGGCCCATGCTTCAACAGCCATGCAGCAGGTTACGTAAGGGGGATAGAAACTATAACGTAAGCCCTAAATAATCATAACATTGGGCTAGATATACATTTCACATATAGCCTAATGGTGTCTGTGTGTGTGTGTTCACTGTAACTAGCGTGCACTAGGGCCCGTCAAAATAGCTTGCACTGGGGCCTGTCGTGACTACCTTACCCCACTGAACACAGGGCTTGATTACAGTTTGCAGTGGCTGATACAGTTTCACTTGTGAATGAAACATTATCTTGGGGGCTCTTTTTATTTGGAATGATGTTCCTCTTTCTCTGTTATGAAAGATGACAATTTAAATTTCATATTCTGTATAATGTTCCCTCTATAGTGGATACAACTACTTGCTGGCATTGTAAAGTATCCACTTACAGAAAATGAGACCAGCCAACAAATATGCACAAGCACTCATACTCTATGACTTAGAGAGCAACATCAACAACATGTGAGCAAATGCCACTTTCTGTTTGATCACAGAGTTTCAGCAATGCACAGCAGGGAGGCAGAGTTCATTGCAAGCATGCAGCCCAACCAGAGGACCAAGATTTAAGTCCCTGTGTCAGCCCAGCTCCACTGAACTCTTTAAACTGCACAATGGAAAAACTCATATCCCAGTCATTAGAAAATAACAAGCTCTAGAGGTGCTTGAGAGACTCTGGCCTCTGACTTTTCTGTCAAAAGCAGTAAGTGAGGACAATTTCTCAACAGAAAAAAAATCTCCTGCTGAAGATATCAAACAAGGCAAGTACTAGAACTCAATATTTATGAGCACTGAACAACAAGAATTCCAAGTACGAAGTCCAAAAAACTATGAAGTAAAATATTCAACAAATATCTAAAATTATAGTATTTCTTCAAATGACAAATAATCCCAAATATGTTATAGCTAATCAGAAAAATTCTACCGCCAACCTCTGGTCGCCAAAAAACTAAAGTTCCTCGAGTGTCCACTTGAGGTCGGCTCCAAAAGTCCCGGAAGTCCCATACACACCCCATATTAAAATGTAAATTTTGGCAGCAGAAATGTGTACAGGCTAATACAAAAAACATTTTTGGTCCGAAAAGTTCATGTCTTTATCGGCATACACTGTAGGGGGGTTATAGCTCCCTGATTTTATGAAAGACATGAGTTATGCCCAATTAGGTGCATGACTGAACTGACTGAAAGCAGACTGGAGGCTTAAGGCCCACCTACGCTCCAACTCTTTGCCTGTTCTAAAGCTGACTGAATATCTGATCAGCACTTCCAATATGGCAACTGCCATGGGGGAGCTACCAAAACAGCCCTTCAGAAACCATTGGGTGACTTAACTGAGACTTTGTCCATGTTTATATTCAGTCCATGGTTTTAACTTGCTGGCCTTTGAAAAGATGCCCAATTTTATCCATAATTCCCGTCCTGCACTTGTTTCACAGTAACATAAATCTGGAGTAAAAATCATCAGTCAGTGTTGATTGGATGACTGACCACTGTTTTATTAAATAGGTCACAAGCCAGAAACCATCATGCTGTTTAATGTTCCTGAGGCTAATCACAAACACTTCTTCAGCAGAGGGACTGTCCTGTCACAGTAGTTGAATTTTCCATCACAAATGTAATCCCAGAGGCTCTCTTCCTGTTTATGTTGAGCTACCTCCAGCTATGACTGTAGCTGGATAACTGTGCACCATATGGTAGAGGGTTTAGAGTTTGTACAGGAAACAGGCATGCAGTTAAAGTGATATCATATGACAGAATAATCATAGCTATGGATTTATCTTTACTTATTATTCAACTTACACTGGTGCCAGAGACTTAAAGCATTCAGAAGGGATTACAGTGTTTCAATACACTTCTAATTGTGATAAATGCCACATTAGCAAATTATTCTGACCAAGTAATGTATATGGGCAGACTCTGGTCAATGTGCTTGAATGAAATTCAGTAAAGTGTGAACACAAGCTAACACGATCACAAAATGACAGAGCCAATCGTGTGACAAACAAAATGTCACAAACGCCCTGTGAAACGTTGAGCTCTGTTGCAAGGCTTTATGGTGTAGCACCAACTGTCACATGTAGGATACAGTTTACACTTTCTCTGAGCAGTGAATGTGATCATTGGCCACATGGCCTCTCTCTGACCTCTCACAACATGTTATCCACCTTCCTTTCAATTTCTCCTGTTATTTCTCTGAAGTGAAATGTACCTACAAGCGTTTTTTTTTTTTTTAAATTCGGGCTTTGTATGCCTTTATTACAGAAACAGAATAGTGGATAGAATCAGAAATCAGGGAGATAGAGAGGAGGGAAGGACATGTGGGAAAGAAGCCAAAGAAAGAATTCATACCTGGGCCACCTGCTTCAAGGGCATTAGCCTCTGTGTATGGGGTGCATAACCAATTATTACTAGGCCATCAGAGTAGTAATTAGTAAGCATTTTGATGTATTTTTCAAACTCCCTGTCCACTCTGAAAATAAATAATTATTTGATAACTTATGGCTGCCTCAGGCCTGCGAAAAACTATCCAAACATGAGTGGAGTCTTCCGCAAGCTAGCTATCATGCTAATCTCACAAGAATGTATGAGAAAGTTATGATTAAAAAATTCACTTAGCCCCTCTCCCAAGCGCTTTCTTGGGACTCATCTTGTGGAGACAGAGCATGTTCATGTTTCAGGGGTTTCAAATTATCACAGTTAGATACTTTCAAATTTAAGCTAGCTCTTGCTGCCTCTTGGTAGATGGAAATATGTGGCTTTATACAACAGTTTAATTTCAAACAGACAAGTCAGATACGATTCTGTTTGGAATTTATGAACTGTGCAAATCCTATTATTAAATATGATTGTAGGCTAATTCTGACAATTTGGGATTGTTGGTGAACTTTGGAAACATGGGTATTCTGCTGTTTAAAGTGGGCTTTTATTAAGAATAGCCTATAAGAATCATGCACAGTTTAATATTCCAAATAAGATCTGCAAACCTAATATAACATGGAAATACAATTATAAAACAGCCATAAAACACAATGGCGGCACAATGTTTCATTGATTCTTTTTAAAGGAGGCGTATTGTCGACATAGCTTTAATGTGGCCTAACCTGTAAGCATTGTCATTGTATGAGACTAAATGTTCTGTATGGCACACTGTCTATAATCAATAGGCCTATTCAATACCCATTGAAGCCTATTTGTTCCATTTACTTGTCCGCCTTTCTTTCAATCACTAACAGAGTGTAAACTCAATGGCCAATTTTGGTAATCCCACACCTATCAGCTGTTTAATCACCTGCACAGATTTAATGCAAAAGACACTCAGTTACAGCCTACAGTGTGTGGGATAGGTTATTTGTAATTCAATATTTTAATTAGGCCACTTACTCATTTGCATTTCTCTTGCATATAGCCTACTTTGACTATATGAAATAGCCTACACAAAATAGGTCAGTTTTTAAGGTGTGTTCGCGGGAATGTTATGGGCAACATTCCATTTCAAATGTGCATTCACTTTTCCTCATCAATGGAGCTGCTCGTGCTACAGGACACCACCTGTATGGACGAAGCCTTGTTTTGTTCAAATTCGTTGAATTTGCCAATCACCAGTGAATTTGGCGTTATTAAAATCAGCTGTGAGTCTTGCCTTACCCTTTCTTGCACGTTTCGGCTCCTAGTTGCTCATTCTTACCCAGGGAATGAAGACAGTCTCGTTGAGTCACATCTGTTCGGTTCCGTTAGAGCGGCTTCCCAGCGTTTATATCCCCGGCATCAAGTTAAAGGGACTATACCTGCGAGATGAAGGATGAGCTCCGAGTCCGACACACATCAACACAGCTGGACCCCTCTTGTGTCTTGTTGCCCTCTTTGACTCATTAACTGGAGGGGGCAACTAATTATCGACGTGTTTGTATACGAAGATTCAAGATTTTTCACCACGAAGCGCTAAAATAATGCGAGACTTTCGGTAAAAGACGAATTCCTTCTTCTGTTTTCTGACAATGGTGAGACGAGCGAGGAATGAGGCATGATTGCTGCGCGCGTTCTCGACAGCACAGGCTCGTTCGCGAGTCAGACGCTCCGTGGCCGTGGGAGTGAACCGCAATAAGAAATAATTCATGGAAAAAAGGTCGGCATTGAGACTGAGGGAGAATGGCTCCTGTATGTTTCACAGTTGCTTTCGATTAAAACATGTAATGTTGAAACTTCAGAATGAAAATGAGAGTAGCCTACTTAAATTGGAGGTCTAATTTGATGGAGCTGATGAATTGACATAGCCTCTACTGGAGACTTCAATATAATGAACGTTAAAATAGGCCTATGTCTGTAAATGCCAATTGCAGTTGGATAGCCTACGTCTTTTATTTTCACCGGATTTGATGTGCAATCATTTATATAGGCCTATATTTTTTTTATCACACTTACATTTTTAATCTTTACTGCACTGACCCTCTCAAAACCACTGCTTCAAGATTTATTTTCATGTTATTCGTGCTTCTCTTAATCGGCCCTTTTCATTGACATTATACGACTTGTTATGCAAGACTCCTTCCCTGGATGATTCTGTAAGAGCAGCTTTCCTCCCTCGGGGCTTACATTGTACAGAGTGAGAAAACTAATAGGCCTCACATAAGAGGAGAGATGCAGAGGTCCCTCGTGCCTTGATTTTTGCCACTATAAGGGTTATTTTCATTTTCATTTGTTTGGTGGATGGTCTTATAAGCAGTGCATGCTCTCCCAGCTTCCCATTCATTAAATAGATACACACACCACACCTGGGAGCTACCCCATGCAGTACACCACACAGCTGTGCTGTTCAGTACTGAAGTGCATTATAAGAAAAGCTCTTCTAAATGCAGAGGCCTAGTAGGAAATTTCCTCTGAGCCTCACAGCTGATCATGTTAATACTTTCCTTTAGCTACAGCTGCTGACTATAGTATTTTCTTCTTATTCAAATCTGAGAGACTGCTAAGGACAAAGAGATTTGCCCAGTTTGCCTATAATTGTGAATTCTAATCAGGTCCAGATGTTTTATGATTCACATCAGAACTACAACCACACACAACAATCTTTCCCAGACTTTAAATATTTTGCACGTGCAACTGTAGAAAAATGTTGTGAACTTTAACCAAGCAGTTACCGCTGCTGCAACTTAACACCTTTTTATTTCATTTCATAAGGGCCCTGTCTTACCCTGTTACACAGGCTACCTTCATTTCTGTAAGGATATGTTCAAATTCAAAGGTACAGCAGAAGCTGAGGAGAGACCCTTTTGATGTAACAGAACCTTTTAAGATGCAGGCAAGATGAAGAAAAGAAGTTGAAAGCGTGTGCAGCCAATAGATGTGTGCGAGAGAAAGAACACAAGAAAGAGAGGGAAAACGAGTACAAAGTTTCCCCTGATGAAGGATTTCCATTTTTTTTAGTAACTTAAAGCAAGACACAATTTGATTCACAAAAGTGTCCAAACCAGCCTTAAAATGCCCTGGAGTTTTTCATTTGTGCGCTAATTGGCCCTAATCTACATTTATATCAGAGCTTTTAAGATGTCCATTATTAAGCCTCCAGCGTGAAGTTAGAACGGATTGCAAATAGGTCAGAGGGTGCATAAATTAGCCATGGAGTTAAAGATTTACAATGGTCATCAAGCAATTCTGTGCTACTAAATAATGGGCTTGCAGTAGGTACATTAAACAGAACTCATTCTAGATCAGGCTGCCTGAAGGAAATGAAAATACTGCTTTACCAAAGTTTCTTTCTTGGGTGAAATGGCACATACATGACATCAGTTTATGGGTGCAGCCCTTTATCGATACATTTTTCGTTGTTGTAATTAAGACATACAGGTCCATCATTAAAACTAAGCCAGATGGTTTGGGTTTACTAAAAGAATGTCACTGTCCATCTCCAGCCTCTCCTATGTGATGGTAGGTGACCTGGAAGTAAAAAGCAGCAGAAGGCATTCCCGCCCACTGGCTCCGCTGGCAAAGGGCTGCCCCCACTCTTTCTGTCAGCTCCACCATCACACATCACGTAACACATACACACACAAGACATAGAAGCTATTTAATAGTTAACACTGTTTTTTAATGTCCTGCTGATGTGTCCTCTTATGATCTACTTTTGCCACCTCTCCTTGTGGAGGTTGTGTGCCTCACAGTAAGAGGCAGCTTAATTCAGTAGTAGGTACTCCAAGTGAGGTCCCCTGTGACTGAGAGAAAGGGAGGTTCCAGGCTAGACAAAGTGCAGCCCATCACCTACTCCTCTGCAAGGGAAGCCCTGCTGGCTCCCGGCCCAGATAACAGAGGAGGACTAAATGTAGGACTCATCCCTCAGCTCTGTGAAGGTCTTCCATGATGCACAAAAAAAAGCATTTACCAAAAAAAGGAAAACATTGACTTGCTTAACCTTTCTGTTTTAGGCCCACACCCTTAGAGCATCTGCAACTTCTGCAGGCAATGCACAACAGGAGCACTGCCTCACACAGATATTGACAGACTTATTTTCACGAGTGACCTTGAAGTATAACATTCACATGGTTCTGGTTTCTGTGTATCGTATCATGTATGGAAATAAAGCTCTCGCTGTCAGAAAATGACTGACAACGGAGACCAGGAAAAAAATGCAAAGCGATAATGAAAGATGAGACTTTCCTTAACACCTTGCTTCATAGTTTATCCTTCGTTCAGAGACCTTAATGGTTTTTCTCCTGCACCAGAGGATCATTCATCTTCTAAGTCGTCAAATCTGTCTCTCTACAATGAGATACCACAGTGAGAGGGCTGCTAGTCCTCTAATTTAGATGCGAACACATGAGAGGAAATATGAGATAAACTTTTTTATTTTCTTCTTTGCATTATGCACTGATGGGAAAAAACAGTTTGGCACACAGCTTCCTCTAGTGACATATTGTTAAGCATATTTTCAATTAAGTCCTGCTCATGGTGGCAGGAACAACAGTTATTCACAGGTAAGAGTTGAATAATGGCTTTTTTAAACACATAGGTATTTTTCTTGCTTTCTGAAAGAGAAAATTCTATTTCTAATGATGTCATCTCTTCCTTTTCAAGTCTGTTATTTCACATAAGTAACCATGGTTACCATATTGCATCTCTACGTATAGAAGCCAGCTGCTACCAGCTGAAATGGCTTGAGACAGTAATGAACATTGTTGAAGTGAAGAGAAATCCTTTATGTTTTAAATGTTTTCAGAACATGGACAATCAGGCATGTTTTTTCAGATGATGTATGTTAGGGTCAAATTTCCCTCAAGTATTAATTTCCATGTGATCCTGTATCCCTATATCATGTTTTCCCTCCTCTGCCTCCCTGTGCTTTCCTTCCCCCACAAGCTGCCATGACTTCCAGGGGTTAAAAATAGACACACACACAAACCCCTGGTGCAGCTTGAGCTTCATTTTATTCTCATGGAAGAAATGAAAAGAACACTTGGAGGGAAACAGGGGAAACAATGATAACCTCCAATCTACAGGGATAATAAATCTGTTTCAGTTTGTGCAAGAACACAGTAGAGGGGCGAAGGTCCAAACTAAATCTTTCTGTTCCTGTAATGCTTTCACTTGCTTTTCATCTTTTAATTTCACTTTGGTCTGGATCAAATGGATCTCTATTGAGAATCTCAATAACCAAATGTAAAACCCATCCTGCTAAATATTTGAACAGGAGTTTTTATGGAAGGTAAATAAAAGTCAGTCCAGACATGTTCATATGGATATTGATTTCATGCTGGATACAGCTGCCCTCCATTAACCTAGGATGTATGCAAAGAGAGAGATACCCATCAATACACATTCCTTTCTAGATCTTTCTCCAATGAGTCCTCACATCTCATTTGGAGACAAAGGGAGCGAGATGGTGGGAAAAAGGGGGAGAAAGAGTGACAAATAGATGAGTGAATGAGAGGAGGAAAACAGTGACATTGCAAGAGATTGGAGATGGATGAGAACATGACAGTAAGCAGGGGAGGGAGAACAGGCAGCGGCAGAGGGAACGCTGGAGACAGAGTGTGGCAGACAGGAAGAGGAGGAGGAGAGCAGTGAGGGGGGAGGGTGGGCGTGGGAGAGATACAAGTTGAGTCAAAACCCCCCTGAGCTCCCCTGATTTCTCTGTGAAAGACACAGTGCAGAAAAGATGGATAGCGTGTGCCCTCTCAGCCAAGACAAGCCCAAGACAATGACATCATCATCAAACTAGCAAGGACACAAGACGAGAGCCCCAGACTCACACTTTTAATTGTTTTTTATTCATTAATATTCACTCACTTATTCATAACTTTGTTGCGCTCAACCTTACACTTGGCATTGACACTTATCATAAAGTCTTCATATTTAAAAATATTCATAAAACAAGAAAGAAATGTCACTTGCACTGACGGTGTTATTCTTAGATATATATAATATTAGAAATCTCCCAAAAATAAAATACGTACTCTTACTTTGAAATACATATTCAGATAAATGTAGACACTTTGGTGTGTTCTTCAAATAAGTTATTGTCATAGGTTAAGGTTTGAATGGAGGCTACAATTACTTAAAAAGGTATTTTTAAATGGGGTTGTATACTGTATGTGTAGGTTGGGTTATACTGTTGGTGCAGGGGTTTCACTTTGGTTAGCAGCAGAAGCTATTTGGCGCTCCTTCTCTGCCAGCCTCTTAGCTTTTCTCTGGAGGTAACGCGCTTTACCCTCCTCTTCACGTCTCTGCTCCTCCTCTCCGTCAAGCTGAAGAACCAGAAAAACAGAAAAAAAGATTTGTTTTGAGACACCTTCATCATTTACACATACTGTGCACTGGAATTTCCTCTCCGCTGTTATGATATTAAGTCTGGGTATGAAGCTCTGATCTAATTTATCAGTCTGTGCTCTTGTCACTGCCATTCGTGTTCTTGATGAAATACAGAATGAATCACTGAATCTTGGAGAGGCTCAGCATTATATGCATCCAGAATATGCACTGGAATGGATTCAATTAACATCAGACAAATCTTTCCAGAATGTGCAAGACATTTGCAGGACCATGTTCTATAAGCATTTCAAATTCTTGAAACTGTATTCTTCTCAAAGGTTTGTGAACGACCCTTAGCGCTGCCAACAATTTTTTTTTTAAATCAAAAACTGGCAGCAAAGCTTAAAGATTGCATTGTCATTCTGTCTGTGAGTCCAGTTCTTTTGTCATGAAATATCCCTTTATCAAGACAACTGCTTGCCAGATTGCATGAAACTTAAAGAGAATATAACAATTATGTAACTTAGAGCATTATGTATATGATTTGTGATTGATGATGTTTGCTGGCCATTCAGCCTACACCACAAACTGTTCAATTCTCTCTTTTCTAATATTTTGGTAAGCCATAAGGTAAGTATTCACATCTCTGACCAGACTGTATCCTTGTGTTATCAGCTGTATAATTGCACTTAAAACCATAATCATCCTTTTCCAAAGCATAGTGTTCGGCATGACTTCAATCAGCTGCTGCCTTTCATGTATAAAATATATTGCCATTTTGGGTTCTCTCTCGCTTTCTTTTTTTATCTGCACAGCAATTCCAGCTTGTGAAGAATAAATCTTCGCCTTCACTTATCTCAGTTTGGTAGCTGATTCGTGGGCGGAGGCTCTTGCTAGCCTGCACTGTTTAATTAGACTGCCTGGCAACCTCGTGACTCAAACAACAATACCACAACCAGCAACAGTGTCAACACTTACTTTTATGGTGCTGCTGTTAGCTCTCCCACTCCCTTTTCTGCTCACTGTTCAGGGGAACAGAGGAGTGCGTGCGTGTGTGTGTGTGTGTGTGTGTGTGTGTGTGTGTGTGTGTGTGTGTGAGAGAGAGAGCATATTCATATATGTTCTTTGCAGCTAACATATAGCATGCAGGTGAATTCTAACTTTGAAGGCAATTTTCAGGTTGAAGCCCTGTCTGTGCACACACCAGGTGGTCGGCAGATTAGAGAGCACCTGTCACTCAGCAGAGCACCCTTGGTGCAAAGCTAACAGATGGTGCTTTAACTTTATGGAGAGAGAGAGAGAGAGAGAGAGAGAGAGTTGGAACAGATTAAATAAAAATTTCATGCGAGGGACAAGCCCAAAGGTCACGGCTCAAATGTGATGAGAAAATGAAACTATTGACATTGAACCACAAACACAACACCGGGGAGAATCTTCAGTTTAGTTTAGGTTCAGGAGTGTAAAGTTGTAGTATTGGTATTGGTATCATGTATTATCACTTTTGAGTTGCTAACTTTCTGCATAATCGACTGCCTTTATACTGTCATGGAGTTCAGACAAGCATATAAGGCTATATTAATTAACATTACCAATTGGAGTAAGAGCACAATTATGTACAGGGAATTGGTTATTAAAGAAGTATATAAATAAACCCCGCCAAGGTGATTTAGGAACCTGACACCAAATAGAGCTTTATTAATCACCCAACTCGGCTGCAGTGCATACCAAAGACATCTATCCTGAAGGGATACAGCCCTGCAACCACTGCAAAAAAAAAAGTGATTTTGAAGAAACAAAGACTCATTTTGAGTGGTAGATTAGTAAAAAAAAAAAAAAAAAAAATTACGTTATTAAGTTAAACATAAAACTGGTTGTGTGCGTTTCTCCAGAGTAAATACATACAGCTATTTTGATGTAAGGCATTACAAAGAAAGATAATTATATATTTACGAAGCGTTATATAAAAAGCTGCTGGAGTGAAAAAAAAAAAAAGACATCTTCCTGTGCTAGCTTTTGAGTGCATGTGCAACATTGATTCAAAGCTCATAGGTCAAATATGTTCATAAATGTAAAAAAAAAAAAAGGGAAGCAAATAAGTGCAATCACAGCGCCTATGTCAATAAAAAGATGAAACCCAAATATACTGTACAGGTAAACAAATGCATAGTCAGCATTTTTCTTTTAATGGAAGGATATCTTTGAAGCTAGTTCAGGGAGTAGTCAACTCACGCTTCACTGTTTACGCACATGACATTTTTCATTGTTCATAATCCCCTGACAGCCTATAAATTTGGCATTGTTTTAAAGCTGCAAAAATGTGCTCAATTCTCCATCTCTTCTGTCAATACCAATACCGCCCTACACCAGCACTGTGCTCATTCTTTCAGCCACACCACCCCAGCATCCACCTGCAGGCCAACGCTTGGGGGTTTAAGATGCTTCCACATGAGTACTTGCATTTCTGGATGTAAAACATATCTGCAGGGAGTGATGAGTTCAGAGACTATACACATATTCTATCTATATTTTGCCACAGAAACAAATGTGATTTCTCCCTCTCTCTCTGCCACTGAGGCCCATGAGGTCTAAACAATTATTTAATTTCACTTCTGAAACCATAGGAGTTACAATCTTCAGCTTGAGATGTTTTTTAATGAGCAAGCTAATTAAAGGGAACTGTACGCCTGACTACAGCTAATGAAGACTGACAATTAATAACAGGAATGCAACAGTTTCTGTTCAAGGCAGAGGATGTCTGCAGGAGAAAATCGGACTCTGACTTATTGAATTGTCTAAGCGCTAATGCTACTTCAAGTACATTTTTCAACAAATATAAATACCACTTTTACGGTAGGTTTGGAAGGGCTGCTTCAGTCTTAAACGGTAAAATGAGAAGATGGTCTAATTGAACCTTTAATTAAGCGATATCATATCTAAGCCTTAATACTGGTCAGTAGATTGTCTTTGCGTGTGTCTCTGTGTGAACATTATCTCGCTGCTTACATCAGTTTTTTCTGCATCCGACCAAGGCTGCACGTGTGCATGCGTCTGTTTATGCTCATGCAGATCAGATTTGTAGAACTCGGTGTGAGTTAGTGACATTGCGGTGAGATTTCTAGTCACATGATATCCTTTTGGTGTCCCCATGTAATCAGTATTCCCACAGTGGCTTCAGTCTAATATCTGTGATTATGCAGCATCATCAAGTCCTGCTGCTGTCTCTCTGATGCAGAGCCTATCAAGCCCCCAAACAGGACTAATGCTTGTTTTATGGCATCTTAAACTTAAGAGTGTCTGATACTATGTTTTGGTTCATAAACTTGAAGTGTAGCATACTGTACTGTAAGGATAGTTCGCACATACTGAGGCTCCTTCTAAACAATTCAAGAGTTAACCGTTAAGGCATCTTCTCTGTAGGACTGTACTGCTCATATTCTGTATTTCATTTCAAACTTAGGGTTTGTAGTGGATGACAACTTGTCTTCCAGGGAGTTAAAAACTGAAGGTTTTACTAGGTTTTGATGGTGCTGCAGTTCCTTTTTCTCCTTTAATATTAAATAAAAACAAAAAAAGTGGAGTCTATTATACATGGACGATTTTGCTTAAAGTCTCAATATGCTGGAGAGTGTGAATCATGGTGCTGTGAGAATTATCACAAACTATGGCTTCCTCACTTCACTTTATTTCTTATATTCTAAAGTCAACCCGACTGCTATAAGTTCACTCTGGGCATTTCTATTTTTTTACATTTCTTTACATTTTTAATCTTAAAAGATGGGATCCGCATTAGATTGATGTTGTGCAATTTGTTGTTCTTAAAGTCCAAAACTGAGTTGTGAAAGAGCTTTTTGGTTTCCCTTTGCTTGGAACAACCTACAGTCTGATTTAAAATTGCAAAACTTGTTACCCTGAATGTTTTAAAATCCTCGTTACAAAGTCTTAAATTCAGGCTTTCTTTTAGTAGTATTTTAATTTAGTTTGTACTGTATGAGTTTGATTGTTTTTGTTGTTAATATTGTGTGTTGCTGCTATTTTTGGCCAGGTCTCCCTTGAAAAAGAGTTATCTGATCTGAGACTCAACTGGATAAGTAAAAGTATAATAAAATACATGACGCTATTTCTTTGAGTATCCCTCACTGAAAAACACAACATTACTCAATCTCAGAAAGTTGGTTGATTGGGTCAAACAGTTCAGAAGGACAGGAGTTTAACCATGGCATGGAAGTCTTCTATAGGTAGACCCCCTGAAAGGGATTTGAAAAACCTAAAGGAGTAAACCAGGAATATCGACAATCTGTGGGAAAGGGACTCAGATAACGCCAGCAAAATGACAGAGGGGTGCCGTTGTGTTGGCACAAGCTGTTATTAGAGCGCGCATGGGGCATCATTACTACTGCCAAATGCCAATGTCTCAAAAGTAGCACTATGCTGAAAGCAACCGGCTCAAGAAAATAATAGCCATCTGGACTGACATGGGTCATGATACTAACATATGTGTGTGAGAGAGAGAAGGGGAGAGAGAGAGAGAGAGAAATACAGATTGATACAAAAGATGCTACTTTTACTAAAGGGGTTTCATCTTTAGACATAAAGCAAATACTCAACGCTGGCTTTTCCTAAAAGAACTCTGTCCCTCTGTGAATCCAGTGGTTTAGTCCTCATTAACATTTGATGCTATTGGTTAGCCTGTCTTTAGTTCATACGACCAAATAGATATAATAAACCTTAAATAATCTTGGTCTCAGCAACTCTGCAAATTTAAAAGCAGGAATGTGAATGTTATCAGTTTATCTATTAGCGTATTTTTCCTGAAAACTTATTGTATACAATTTCAAAAAAGCCAACGCACCAAATTTTTCACAAGCGTCTGAGCATTTAACTGCAATACAAGGAAGTTGAAAAACTTTGAAAAATATAATGTTCTTCAATGGTATCTTCTTGCTCAAGCTTTTTTTTACATAAAATGTTAATTTCCAGAAATAAATGGATCCTAATC